GTTGGATTGCATGACCTTTGGGGTTCCCTTCCAACACTTCGATTCTATGATTCCCTCCCCTCCCAAATCGGGAGACCATCATGCTTAATAATAATAATAACAACAACAACAACAACAATCTAACCCCCTTCTGCCAGGCAGGAAGACATCATTCAATCCCTCCGGATGGAGAGGAAAGAAGGAAGGAAGGAAGGAGGGAGGGAGGGAGGGAGGAAGAGAAAAAAGGAAGGAAGGAAGGGAAGGGAGGGAGGAGGGAGGAAAAGGGAAAGGAGAAGGAGGAAGAAAAAGGAAAGGGGAGGAAAGGAAAAAAGGAGAAAGAAGGAAGGGGAATGAAGGAGAAAGGAAGGGAGGAAAAAGAAGGAAGGAAAGATGGAGGAAGGAAGGGAATGAAGAAGGAAGGAAGGGAAAGAATGAATGGAGAAAGGAAAAAGGAAAGGAATGAAAGGAAAAAGGAAAGGAATGAAAGGAAGAAAGGAAATGAAAGAAGGAAGGAAAGGAAGATGGAAGGAAGGGAATGAAAAAGGAAGGAGGAATGAAAGGAAGGAATGAAGAAGAAAGGAAAAGGGAGGAAGGGAAGGAAGAAAGAAGGAGAAAGGAAAGGAAGAAGGAAGGAAGGGAAGAAAAAAGAAGAGAAGAGGAAAGGAAGAAGGAGGAAAGACAGGAAGGAATGAAATGAAGAAAGGGAAAGAAAGAAGGAAAAAAGAAGAAGGAGAAGAAAAAAGGAAGGAAAAGGAAGAAGAAGAAGGGAATGAAAAAGGAAGGAAAGGAATGAAGGAAGAGGAAGGAAGGAAATGAAAGAAGGAATGGAAGTAATGAAGGGAGAAAGGATAGGGAATGAAAAAGAAAGAGAAGGAAAGGAACAAAAGAAGAAATGGAAGGAAAACAGGAAGGAAAGGTGGATGGAAGGAAGGGAATAAAAAAGATGGAAGCAAAGAAGGAAAAAGGGAGGAAAATGGAAGGGAATAAAAAGGAAGGCGGAATGAAAGAAGAAAGGGAGGGAAAACAGGAAGGAAAGATGGAAGGAAGGGAGGAATGAATGAAAAAAGGAAGGAAAGAAGAAGAAAAGGAAAAAAAAGAGGAAGAAGGAAAGAAAGAAGAAAGGGAAAAAAAGGAATGAAGGAAGGGAAGGAAGAAAGGAAGAGAAGGAAAGGAATGATGGAAAATTAAGAAAAGATGGAAGGAAGGAAAAGAAAGGGAAGGAAAAAAGGAAAGGAATGAAAGAAGAAAGGAAGGAAGGGAAGGAAAACAGGAAGGAAATGAAAGAAGAAAGGAAGGGAATGAAAAAGGACGAGAAGGAAGGGAAAGGAAAATGAAGAAAAAATGGAAGGGAAGGAAAAAGGAAGGGATGAAGGAAGAAAGGACAAGGAATGAAAAAGAGAATGAAGGAAAGGAATGAAAGAAGGAAGGAAGGGGAGGAAAAATAGGAAGGAAAGAAATGAAGGAAGGGAAGGGAGTAAGGAAGAAAAGAAGGGAATGAAAAAAGGAAGGAACAAAGGGAAAGAAGGAAGGAAGAAGAGGGCAGAAAGCGGAGATTGAAATCCCAACTCTGCCGTTCAAACGCACTGAACTCTCGGAAGAAGGCAAAAATTATCCAGACTAAAACATTAAAAAAAGAAATGTAAACAAATGTCACCAAAAAGAACGAGAGACAATTCAAACCAGAACCAACTCAACGCAAATATTTGATGGATCGCTGTATTGTTTTGTTCAGAAATGAGCCAAATTGACGCCGAAACGGTTCCGATATTTTATTATTTTTTTTTCAAACTCTTTTTATTGGATTTTTATTTAATCTCCATTTTTACATTGATTTGTATCGACTATGAGTTCATAATACCAGAGGCGGAAGGGAGTCGAGAGTCTGGTGTTTGGCCGAAGCCGGACATAATACAACATTTTTTACTCGGTTTCATTTCCATTCCTGCGTTGACCCAAAAGTGCACACAACAAACCTTGCTTTCCCCCCACTCCAGACACACAACATACACACTTGGCTCGACACGGAAAGCTGTGCCGTCATCTCATTCTTGGCTTCTGGTTTATTTTATTTTATTTTATATTATTTTTTGTCTTATTTTTTATACAAAATGGAACGAACCAGAGACCACAACGGAATGCGTTTTTTCCCCCTCGTTTCCTGATTTGTCGTTTTTTTCCCCCATTGTTTACAAACATCTAAAAACTACACCACAGCACAAGGTTTTGCTTGAATATTATGATTATTTTTTTATCTTTTCTCAGTTTTTTTTTTCTTGTTTTGCATACAGACAGAACTACGGATGGATTGGATGTCGTTGGTCGTTTTGCGGTTTGTATTTCTTTATTTTTATTTTTCTCGTTTCGTTGCAAAGACCGGCTTGTACACGGAAAAAAAGGACACGATCAAACAGGAAGGAAAGAGGTATCGGAAGGCGGGCGCCGTGTGCTTTTGGAAATTCCTTCGGATATTTGGATCTCTTCCAACCAAAACAAATCGATTGATTCCTTTCCAAGAGTATTTCGAAGCCAACATAGACTTTTGCATGGTTTGTAGGATCGGATGGAAGGGTGAATTATAAAATTGGAAGGGAACCCCAGAGGTCATCTAGTCTGACTCCCATTTGGCAGAAAAGATGCTCATCTATCTCCTATCTAAATATGGAATACTCTGTGCATGCTCCGTTCACAAGTCGAGGACTAGATGGAAGGATGAATTGTAGAATTGGGAAGGACCTACTATTTGATCTCCAACCTTTCCTCCTATGTTTACTTTTCCATCTATTATGATCTCCAACCTTTCCTCCTACGCTTTCTTCTCCATCTCCTATTATTTGGTCTCCAACCTTTCCTCCTATGACTTCTTCCCCATCTATTATGATCTCCAACCTTTCCTCCTAGGACTTCTTCTCCATCTTCTATTTTTTGATGTCCAACCTTTCCTTCTGTGCTGACTTCTCCATCTATTATGACCTCCAACCTTTCCTCCTATGCTTTCTTCTCCATCTTCTATTATTTGGTCTCCAGCCCTTTCCTCCTATGGTTCCTTCTCCATCTTCTATTACTTGGTTTCCAACTTTTCCTCCTATGCTTCCTTCTCCATCTCCTGAGTTGATCTCCAACCTTTCCTCCTATGACTTCTTCTTCTCTATCTATTATGATCTCCAACCTTTCCTCCTATGACTTCTCCATCTCCTATTATTTGGTCTCCAACCTTTCCTCCTATGACTTCTTCTCCATCTGTTATGATCTCCAACCTTTCCTCCTAGGACTTCTTCTCCATCTTCTAGACTTTGATGTCCAACCTTTCCTCCTATGCTTTCTTCTCCATCTTCTATTATTTGGTCTCCAACCTTTCCTCCTATGACTTCTTCTCCATCTATTATGATCTCCAACCTTTCCTCCTATGTTTACTTTTCCATCTATTATGATCTCCAACCTTTCCTCCTATGCTTTCTTCTCCATCTCCTATTATTTGATCTCTAACCTTTCCTCTTATACTTACTTCTCCATCTATTATGATCTCCAACCTTTCATCCTATGCTTCCTTCTCCATCTTCTATTACTTGATCTCCAACCTTTCCTCCTAGGACTTCTTCTCCATCTTCTATACTTTAATGACCAACCTTTCCTCCTATGCTTTCTTCTCCATCTCCCATGACTTCTTCTCCAATCTTTCTTCCTGATTTCTCTATTTCCTATGGCTTGTTTATCCTTTCCTCCTATGATTTGGATTCCAACCTTTCCTCCTATGCTTTCTTCTCCATCTCCTATTATTTGATCTCTAACCTTTCCTCTTCTGACTTCTTCTCCATCTCCTATTATTTGATCTCCAACCTTTCCTCCTAGGACTTATTCTCTATCTTCTGTTCCTTGATGTCCAACCTTTCCTCCTATGACTTCTTTTCCATCTCCTATTATTTGATCTCCAACCTTTCTTCCTATGACTTCTTCTCCATCTATTATGATCTCCAACCTTTCCTCCTAGGAGTTCTTCTCCATCTTCTATTCCTTGATGTCCAACCTTTCCTGCTATACTTACTTCTCCATCTATTATGATCTCCAAACTTTCCTCCAGCGATTTCTTCTCTATCTCCTATAATGTCTTCTCCATCTCCTACATTTCTCCAACCTTTTCTCTTATGGTTCCTTCTCCATCTCTTACTATGTAATCTCCAACCTTTCCTCCTACCTCTTATTTCATCTCCAACTTTTCATGCAAAGCTTTGTTCTCCACCTATGATTGGAGAGGGAATTGGAAGGGACCTACTATTTGATCTCCAACCTTTCCTCAGATGACTTCTCCATCTGCTATTTGATCTTCAACCTTTCCTCAGAAGACTTCTCCATCTCCTATTTCATCTCCAACCTTTCCTCAGAAGACTTCTCCATCTCCTATTTGATCTCCAACCTTTCCTCAGAAGACTTCTCCATCTCCTATTTCATCTCCAACCTTTCCTCAGAAGACTTCATCATCTCCTATTTCATCTCCAACCTTTCCTCAGAAGACTTCATCATCTCCTATTTCATCTCCAACCTTTCCTCAGAAGACTTCATCATCTCCTATTTCATCTCCAACCTTTCCTCAGAAGACTTCTCCATCTCCTATTTGATCTCCAACCTTTCCTCAGAAGACTTCTCCATCTCCTATTTGATCTCCAAGCTTTCCTCAGAAGACTTCTCCATCTCCTATTTGATCTCCAACCTTTCCTCCTATGCTTACTTCATCTCCTATAATGTCTTCATCTCCTATATTTCTCCAACTTTCCCCCAATGATTCCTTCTTCATCCATGATTTGATCTCCACCTTTTCCTCCTAGGCTTTCTTCTCTATCTCTTATGATATCTTCTCCCAACCTTCCTCCTACAATACCTTCTCCGTGGTTCATATCCTCCTCCTCCTTGTCCTTCTCTGAACTGGCTCCCACTTGCCTATATCCTTCTTCAAAGGGCCCCCCAAAACACTAGTTGAGGTCTAGCTGAATCCCAAAAAATCCCAAAAAATAATTGTGCTCTGTTAAGTT